ATCGTATCCGGGGCGCGTGTACTAAATCGCTGGACTACCGACGCATGTTTTGCCACCACTCTTTCTACACTACAGCGTAGCAGCCTGTCACCAACCAACCGTCAGGGGTTTATCGGTTCAGATGAAAGTATTTTCTCACAAAACGCGTTTTTTGATTGACAAAACTATTCTTCTGGAATTCAACTTCGTTTGAAGGCTTATATCTCACTCATTTCAATGGTGCACTTGGTTTTTAAGAAGAATTATTTTAATCACACGGTTGAATGATCGTACGGTGAGGTCCACATGTGGTGCGCGACTTTTGTTATTAAATTTAGAAATTTGTCTCCGCTTTGGTAATGATTCGGAATAAAATATGACTCTAATACCCCAAGACCCTCTCTACACGTTCATATACATATGCTTTTCGTGAATGAGCGTAGGCTGCTTGGACTTAGTTAACGGGTTTATTTGGCAGTAGAGAGCAAAAATGACAAGTCTAAGTCCACAGGAGGACAAAACAAAGCTTGTTTTACAATTGGAAAGCAGAAACACAAGAATTCCCATGGAAGCGTTGCAAATAAATAACGGAAATATGCGCGAATATGCGTCGAATGTGGAGCGTTATTTTATTTTGACTGTCACAGCCCACTAAAGGATCTCTTAGGAATGAAGTACAGCAATATAGATGTCGAGAATTAGGCTATCAATAATAACTTGAACTACTGCAAAAGCAGAAAATGCTCTGCTCCCGAAAAGTTTGAAACGATAATCGGTAATTGAAATGTATCGGTACCTGTTTGAAAGTGTTTTCTCCTAAGTCCACGTTCTGAAATTTCTGCTCAATAACATGCAGCTTCAAGAGTCCCAAAGCTGTTAAAACAATCACTGCTCTACCCATCACCTACAAGTAGGCATTCACAAGATACATAGACTCTTTTGAAGAACAACGGATTTACCATATTGCTAATTCCCATATAGTTAGAAAACTCGTCACTTAGAAAACATCCGGCCGATGGGCAATTGAGAACCTTGTTGAAGGGTGAGAGGACGAATTCCAGAACGAGATCCACCATAACTAAGAGAAATCCAGCCATCAAGCAGAACGTCGCATATGGATACGAGGAAAGCTTCCGGAACACGAGTGGGAAGGACAAAACCTGAAAGAACTTGTGCTCAAGAAAAAGTTATTTTTGACCAAATCTTACCAATATTCTTTCCATAGCGATAGATATGGTTAAGATGAGGTACATTTCAGCCGAGCAGTGAAAGGAGCGTTGGAGATCAACACGAAATATGGATTTAGATTTATCTGTATTGAATTCCAAGAACTTAGGAGATAGATAGAATATGGAAGGGATTAAAAGAGATCTATACTCAATTATTTGATTATATAATTATTTCATTATATAGTTAATTATTATTTAATTATAATTGTCAATTATTATTATTTGATTACATAGTTATTTATTTAATTATACACTTGTCTCTAGCATTTTTTTCCCGAAATACCACGCAGAGTACTTACTTGCCACAGCATGAATGATGTCAGTGGCGTTAGATGTAACACCGATAGTTGAGAGAAATTCTGGCGAAGAGCCCTCTTCCTTAATGACAAATAAATGTTCCAAATTGGCTTTTTTGTCGCTGCAAGTGCTCAAAAAAAAAGTTGCATTAATAAGACTGGCAGTTTGCTTTCACGCTTACTTGGTGAACAGAAAGAGAACGATTCCACCGCAAATTATCACAGCATGCTGGAGTACATCAACTATAACGTAGGTAAACAGATGAGAAATCTTGACCATGCCACCGAAGAATCTGAAGATGTTGAATATCTGCGAGTAAGGTTTGACGACCTAAAAGGACATATAAAGCATTGATAGAGCAAAGATTTTTGGAAAGTTATCGTCAACGTGCGCAAGCGGCCGTCCTCACTTTTTCCTCTTATCAACACTACCATCTTTATCACGAAACAGGCGGAAGCAACGTCGTGTCCAACGTCAACATTTTTAAAAAAAAAAGTAGCGTGAATATTGAGAAGTTTGATTGTTTTACACTCAATTTGCACTTATACAAATCGAAGTTCCAGAATTAGTCTCTTCTATTTTCTGTTTCAAAAGCTGAAGGCAAGTAGTCTTAAAGCAGTGAGAAATTTGACATAAATTGAGGAGAAATTTGAAGATTTGAAGACAAAATTTTGAAGAGACAATTTATGATGACTAAAGAATATGTTTAGAAGCTTCATCAGATTTGAAACCATTGGAAAAATCACTTTCTGCGTAGTGCCGTTAATATCCATCGACAATGGTGATCTTCTTCAAGTAAGTTAGTCAATACAGCGAATTAGTGCGACACAAATTGCTTTTTTCACTGAACCAACGAGACCAAGGCATAGAATGTGACTGAAAAGGAAAGCGTCAGAGTGTGTGAACAAGTTTGAGATCAGAAACACATCAACCCGGTAGAAAGGTCTTATTAGTGGCATTGAAGTTAATTGAAGAGCATGAAAAGCGAATGAAGCACGTTCGAGAAGTGAATCGGCATCACTCAAGCGAGGACACAGCACACACTGTAATATGATTGCTAACTAATATTATTGTTGCTCAGATTATCTGCGCAGAATTACAAATCCGTTATTTGTCCCGCTTCAACCTGATGAACTGATCAAAGTAAAATGCTTTTCACAGCGTGTTTCCTTCATAAATTTAGTTATAAGTATGTTAATCGAATTTGTTTCCCAATAACTATAGATAAAAATTCACGGCCGGCAAATAACCCATCTTTGTTTCCGCGATGATATCGTTCTAACACCAAGCATCAGTTAAGCAGAACGAATGTTGACTGATTTCGACAACGGTCTGGAAAGATTGGTCTTCAACAAAATCTGACGGAAACGATGTTCATGAGAAACGGATGGGATTTGAATGCCCCATTCACGTTCAGCGAAACGAATATTTCCGAATGCTCCAGGTACGTCTATCTATGTCGTCAAATCAACATGAGGAGCGACCTAGCTCCAGAGTTGATGAGGAGGAAACAAACGGTTTGGGGGAACTTTTGAGAACATCGAAGATGTAGTGAAGAGGACAAAGAACATCCGACTCCGTGCCCACCTTTTCGACTCGACGATTATCCCTGCCCTAACGTATGTAGCAGAAATCTGGTCTCTACGTAGGCAGAATGAAAGCAGTTCGCATGACTTAGCGTCACTAAACGAGCAGTCGATCGAAAGGTCGATGCTAGGAGTATCCCGTACCTCGCAAATGAGAGAAAAGTTCCGAAGCTCCGACGTACGTCATTACGATCGATCTTTCCACTGGCGTTATCGAAATCGGTCAACATTCGTTCTGCTTGGCTGATGTTTGGTGCTATGAGGACGATATCATCAGCAAACCGAAGATGGTTTGATTGTCGGTCGTCAATTTTCACTCCCACGTCCTATTCTAAAGTTCGCATGACGTTTTGTAGGGTGGCAGTGAATAGTTTTGGCAAAATTGTATCGCCTTGTCGAACCCTTCTTCTTACGTCACTGGTGACATTGTTGTAGAATGGAGACATTTTAGTTTTGAAATCTATATAAAGCTTACGTAAGATCATTATGTACCGAGTAGGGATGCCCTGGTTATCCAGAGCCTTTATAACCGCTTCTGTTTCCACTGAATCAAAGGCTTTCTTCAGATCGATGAAAGTGAGACAGAGTGGTTGTTCGTACTCTCGTGAAACTTCAATGAGTCTTGTAATCGTGTGGATGTGCTCTGTGGTACTAAATCCTTTACGGAACCCTGCTTGTTCGCATGGCTGTCTTTCGTTCAGTGTTCTGTCAATCCTGTTTAGGTTGACTCAAGTAAAGAGTTTATAGACAACGGGCAGCAAGCAGATTGGGCTATAATTGCTTATATCTTGAAAGTCTCCCTTTAAGCAGCAATACGGTCTTGCTGGTTTTCCACTGAATGGGGCTTGCATTCTGACAGGTAGCGAGTGAAAAGCCGAGCCACGGTGTTGATGAGAACTGGCGGTAGGTTCTTCAGGTGTTCTGGTGTCATTGGTATGGCCTCGTTTATTTCTCGACTTTTTATCGCTACGACAACTATATCCCTATATGCCATATACGACATATTGTATTTATTTATATTGAATGAAATTACATATCCTTGCGGCTCTTGCTCTAGCCTGAGAGACTGGACGAGGAAACACGCTTTTCACAGCGTCTTCCTTTCTGGTTCGGCTAAAACACAAAGCTGGTTTTTCCAATGTCTGCCAATATTTTTTCAAGAGCTAAAGTACTTGAAGACGTGAAATATGTTTAGAAGAAACTAAGCAGTGTCGATGTACGCACAGAACAAAAATCTCTTTTAGAACGTCTTTCAAGTTTTTACACAGTTTGCTTATAGAGAAAATCATTGATACTTTTAGAAAAACAAGCCGAATTGGTATTGTTTTGGCCGAACTTCTTTATACTGTTAATCCTCAGAGGCTTGAGCTAAGGCCCATAGGTAATGTGAAACGTTTCTCTTTGTATTGAAGTGACCAATTTTTGACTCCGCGCAGACAGCGGTAATATTATTCAGTAAGCGTATTACACTGTATATTCGCCCTCATTTGGACATGCAGATTTCGGTACTAGCACGTGCTTCAATCGTTTCATGCACTTCACTTCACTTTAGTAAATTTAATGAATGCTTTGTATCGAGTAGTTGTACAGCTATTATCAGTCTTCATTCGTATCTTTTCAAACTTTGTTTTTCAATCGCAATCTATGCTTTGCTCTCATTGGTTCAGTCAAGAAGATGATATGCATTGCGCCACATTGTTCTTTCAGCTTATTCATGTGTATGCACACCTTCCTACAACTAACCTCTTTAATAGCTCCGAAACAGCTTAAACTTTTAATTAAATTTTCGGTCGTCGTAACCTGCCTTTTTATTGTATTTCGCAGTAGAAAATAATTTTAAATACAGACTTCGCTCTACATTTTTATTCTGATGATTTTTGAATAAGAATTAAATGATGAGGAAAAACACGGCCTCAGACGGGAATCGAACCCGCGTTTCATCCCTACCGGGGACGTGTACTACTGCCACTACACCACCGAAGCCTGGTACGGCGCTCGGTTCTTACCTGAGGCCGTATCTTTGCTCAACACCGAATTCTTCCAAGTATACATGTAGCATCATAACATTGCGAAAAATGCAGTAAAAATACTAGCAGCTTCTAATGTTTTTGCTATCACAATACTGGTTGTTTCTGCGCAGTCACTGGAATAAAAATGAAAAGAAGTCGATTTTCAGTACTTGTCAAATGAGTTTAAACTTCGTCGTAAAACAGCTTAAACCTGCAGCATCGATGTGGCATTTTGACAAAAATTGGATTATTGTCCGTTATAAGGCATGAATATTCGACCCCATTCGCTGAACACGAGTTTCATAGGCGTGTAAGTAGTCATTCGAAAGCTTAGATCTCTGGCTAAAGCTGTACGTAGCTGATTTTTCAAAGGACCCTTCTATACTTCAGTAAGACTTGAAATAAAATTATGTTTCACATCGGCTGCGCATTTTAAATGTTACTTCGCCGGAAGCACGAAAACCGCATTAACGTGTAGAGAATTTCTTGTAGTATAGCAGGAATAAGTTTAATCTGGGATTTCTTTTGAAGCAGAGAAGCAATTCCTAATATAACAACAAACATCGCACTTCTCCGGAGCGTCAATCGACTGGTCGTGGCTAGCCGCCTCACCGAATTTGCGGCCATCAGATCCGCCGATAGGGAATCAACCTGTAAACAAGCAAGCCGAATGTGTGAAACTTGTCTTATTCTCCCTACTACACTGCATTGTAAAGCTCTTTCTAGAAACGAGCACACGGTTGGAGTCCTTGAATCTAATACTATCGAATGATCACTAATAGTCCAAGGAAAGATCTCTATCATTGAAGAAATGCGTGTGTGGGACACAATAACTCCTCCTGTAACAACGTCAGAAAGAGGCTTTCTCTCAAATCGGTCAGTTGAGGATGTAACCAGAAACTTAAGCTCTTGAATGATTGCTTACACTCCTATAGAAATTCTTGTCCAGCAAATGAGATCTGTTTTTCATTTATCGCCTTACAATGGATAAAAAGACAAAGCTGTAGCTCTTGGCGCTGATCAATCCCTAAGTGAAGCGCCATGCATTCGACTTCAATTTTTGAATTCGTTTGAGGTGATTGAATGCATATCTGGCCTTTACAATGACTCGCGGTGGCCTCCCGCTAAACCGAGTCAGTGCTGCTTATCCTCCCAGACAAGTCTGGGACCTGTCTGGTACCAATTTACCGACCCCCGAGGGATGAATGGCTTGGTGAGCCATGAGCGCGAGATCGATCCATTGACCTTGTGTGAGACACAAAGCACTTCTAACCACTACGCCACATGCGCTCCTTACAGTGGATAATTACCAAAAATTGTTACGGAGCACTCGACACACCGTAGCTTTCTTTTTTCCTTGATAGAAATGCGGACCGCGAAAGTAGAAAGAGATGAGAGTAGCTCACTCTAAAATAATTTTTCAAAAAACTGTTTATGTTTGTTAAATGTTGAATAATTTTAAACGAAAATATTGTATATCTTCAGAATTTTGAGTGGGTCGATCATGATTTTCTATTTGTTCACCTACATTGCAGTTGTTTTGCTTCAGCATACTGTGATAATCTGCACTGGATTCGTTCTCTTCTTATTCATCAAGTAAGCGTTCCAACGTAATGACACTCATTTATCTTCTGCTATCGACTGCTTTTTTTACAGACCCGCTCAAAATGATTTAATCTGATAAGGATGTAACATATTTTGAGCCATAGGTCTAGTGCTATATAGGCGCCTATTTCGTCCTATTGGGACTCATCAGTAGCACCCTCCCTCGGTTCCGTCGATCCCTTGAGGTGAAACAATCCTCCAGAGGAACCGACGCCGAGTAAAATTAAGCACCCAAAGTAGGATGATGTTATTACCTGACTTTGTGGTGACCGGCAGTCGAGCTTACGGCTTTTAAAATGAACTATACTTCTGCTATCGACTGCTTTTTTACAGACCCGCTCAAAATGATTTAATCTGATAAGGATGTGACATATTTGATGAGTCCCAATAGGACGAAATAGGCGCCTATATAGCACTAGACCTATGGCTCAAAATATGTCACATCCTTATCAGATTAAATCATTTTGAGCGGGTCTGTAAAAAAAGCAGTCGATAGCAGAAGTATATTCATTTCAAAAGCCGTAAGCTCGACTGCCGGTCACCACAAAGTCAGGTAATAACATCATCCTACTTTGGGTGCTTAATTTTACTCGGCGTCGGTTCCTTTGGAGGATTGTTTCACCTCAAGGGATCGACGGAACCGAGGGAGGGTGCTACTGATGAGTCCCAATAGGACGAAATAGGCGCCTATATAGCACTAGACCTATGGCTCAAAATATGTCACATCCTTATCAGATTAACTCATTTATCTTCCAATATTTTCTTACCACATAATGCATGACAGCAGGAATGTCGGTAAAATTTTTACTTTTCATTGAGGGAGAGGACTCTTCGCCAAAATTCCTCTCAGCTATTGGTGTTATATCTGACGTTCACTGACTTCATTCACGCCGTAGCAAGTATGTTACTCTGCTTGATAGTCCAGCAAGGAAACGCTTGAAAGCGGCTACATAATTGAAAACTAATCAAATATTTACATAGATCTCTTTTCAGCACTTCCATACTCCATTTATCTTCTGAGTTCTTGGAATTCAGTCCAGTTAGACTTGAATCCATATATCGTTATGATCACCCACGCTCCCTTCACCGCTCAGTTGAAAATAAGCCTCACCTTAACCATATCTATTGCTGCGGAAAGAATATTGGTGAGACCTTTGTAATGAACAGCTTTTTGAGACCTCACTTGAAGTTAATACGTCCTGAACAGCATATTTTAAGCCTCTCATAAGGCCTCTTATGATCACTTGTGCAGTGCAATACGCGTGTTCCAGCCTAGCAGCTTCGTCAGTTTCTCAGTGCCGTCGTCTGTGCCAAACCTCTCGGGGGAGAACCCCTTTACTCAGAGGTATCGTCGACAAACAAGTTACACGTCGAGTAAAGTGAAAATTCACTACACCCAAGGGATACATTATGTCACTGGACATGCAGTGATATGTCAAAATATTGCCGTGATATGTTCCATTATGTCATTGGACATGCAATGATATGTTACTCGCGTATGAAGTGAATTTTCACTTTACTTACGGTGTAACGTGTTCGTCGACGATACCTCTAAGCAAGGCGTTTTTCCTCGAGAGGGATCGACACAGGTGAGGAGCACTGCGCAACTGGCAAGGCTACAAAGCCGAAGCACGTGTTCAGCACTGTAAAGGTGATCATTACAAGACCTTTTGAACGGCTTGAACATGCTGTCAGGAAGTAATGGTAAGAATTCTCTCAAGAAAACTTTTCGCGGAACACAAAATCTTTCAGGCTTTGTGCTTTCCATTCGTGTTTCGGAAGGTGTCCCTATACCCATATGCAACGTTTTCCTTGGTGTTTGGATTCAATTTAGCAGTGGTAGATCTCATTCTGGAATTCTCTTTCTCACCCTTTAAAAGAACTCCCAACTGTCCAGCAGCCGGATGTTTTTTGAGCGACAGATTTTCTTATTATATGGGAACCAGCAATATGGTAAACGCTTTCTACAAATGACATTGTATATAATATAGTATATATCCGCATGCAGGTACTCGGTATTGTGGTGATTGTTCTGACTACAATGGTCCTCTTGAAACTGCGAGGCCTTCAACAGAAACCACAGTTGCATGGAGTTGTGAGCTCGGCAGAAAACAATTTTAAGCAGGTGATTTACGAGCGTTTCTTCGCTAAGAATATCATGATTTTTTTGAATTTAGGCTAATTGTAGCTGCATTGTAATCCTCCTCATATCCTCGGTATTTGTAACCCTTCCAAGTGTTGCAGTTGGTGTGTGTGGAATAACTGGCTACTCTATTTTCAACACCGTTGGCCCATTTTACATTGTTGGATTGCTGTGCGCTGGTGAGTATCATTTTGATCTACGGTGGCACCATAATTATCTAAGGAGCCAGTACAGCTTTTTGTTTGAGGCGTGTGCAACAGTGTCATCCACGTCGCTCTGAACAAAGACATGAGGGTTTTGGGAATCAAATTGATCACAGCGAAAGGAAGTGCATCAGTTCCACCTGCCTTCACTATCAAAAATAGCTCTACAAGATTTGTAACTCAACATATGATATAATCCGACTTCTAAAGCACTCACTGCATATGTGACGGTACACACCTTTCAATTTTAAAATTCGTATGCATTTCGTTTACATTCCTTGAAACTTTTGAATGAATTACAGTCACGTCAAATCAGTGTGGCGCCGTAACTGCATAGGTTTCTGTCTCATCTACTCCTTGATTTACGATTAGAAGAAAATGTTCTGCAGCATCCAGATCCATGGAACTGGATTTCGAAATCTACAAAGAGCTCTCAGTTGGTTCATTTGGAAACTCTTAACTCAAGCTTATTAACGAAATGTGTTATCCTCAGTATAGTTGATGCACCATGACTTTATCATTATGTGAATCGTATCCACAGTGTTTCCGCAAACATTAACTGCAGGTAGAAAAGATCTGCTGGCAAGCTTCGGCGTATTATGACTTGGCGAGATTCAATAGTTGTGCGCTGATGGTTACTCACTTTTGAATTAGCGCTTCATAGGCGGATTTATTACTGTGATAGTTGGTGAAGCAACCGAGCTTGGCAAACTACCAATTCTTTATTGTCTCATTTCATGCTATTTTATATATTTTGCAATAGTAGTGATTCTGAAGCATCAGTCCCGATCGTGATGCACGAGACATCTATGCGCGATAGTAATTAAGTCAAAAATTCATAATGAGCAGTTGGTTTGAATTGCTCATAAATATGTGATTTAGCACCTTTTCGCACATTTATTTTCTGATCTGAATGCGTCTTATTTTTCATCTTATGCAAACTATAAGTGATGCAAATGAGGTGTGCTCACTCACTGAAAAGAAGGAGAAACTATTTTCAACTCCTGAAAAGTCCAGCAGATG